CCCTTGATCACGCCCTACCAGGTCTCCTACACCCTCCTCACCACCGATTTGGATCACTTGTTGTTCCCTTGTCCCTAGGTTTGTTAACACGCCCCCCCTTTTCTTTTTTTTATCAATTATGCAGCACTACAAAGGGAGCTGAGAAAGTGTCCTCCTCTGGGTTTTTGAAGAGCTCTTAAAACTGAAATGCTCCATTCACCCATGAAACTGCCCTGTGTTTTGTAAGAAATTTGTGTGTTGCTGATTCAGTTTTTTTGCGTGAAAGGACTTCCGGGTTTTTATTTCCTGTGTCTCTCAATGCCCTGTTGCAGGAATGTATTCGCTCTTATGCATTTTATTGGTATAAAACCACCCGCCTTGTTCTCAGAGGGTTCCCCAAAGTGTCATCTTTATAGAAGTGGGTGGTCCTGCTTTCCCCCAAGCACGGTGGGCGTGAGGAGCAGCAGCAGCGAGCACTGCCCACTGTGCCACCAGGGCTCTGGAGTCTCCCGCAGTCTTGGCTGTGTTCCAGCAAGCCTCCCTTTCAATCCTCACATTGATGCCTTTGCTCTATTTTGTAGGAATTTCAACCAATTCTCGGCTTTATTGGTCATCACGGTGACTGCTTTTAATTTTATTACTCCTATCTTTGGATTGGGGCTCTCTCTTTCCTAATTTGTCTTAATAATCTGTAGCTCATTACATTTCAGCTTTTCTTCTTTCAGTGTCAGGACTTAGAGCTACACATTTCCCTTAAGTGCTTTTTCTTGCAGCGCGTCGCCACACGCCTCAGTGCACAGGAGTCTGGTTACCATTCGAGGTCTTCTCTACGCTCTCTTTGGAGGCGGCATTGAGTTACTTGGGGTTTTTAAGTTGCCAAAAGTGTTCCCCCCTAAGTTTTGGTTATTGTCCTTTAATTATTTGTAGACTCATTAAGGGGCGGGGGCAGGGCGGGCTTAAAAAAACTCATGGGGAAATCTCATCACGGTATCTTTCAAGACTATTTTCCCACAAACTTTTTGAAGCCCCCGCGTATACTTTTAATGTAAATGATGTTTTTCATTGGGTATTAGATTATAAATATTCAAAATGTGCTTGATAAAAACATGTTCCTTTAAGCATTGGGAAAAGATAGGAAAACACATCTATCAAAAAAAGAAAAAACCCTATTTGACTTGGCAGTCAAAAAGTTAAAAAAAGTAAAACTTTGTTCTATATTGAGGAGAATTGGCAGGTTTATAAAACAAAACAAAAAAGACCAACCAACTTAAAAACAGCAGCTACTCACAAAGCAATAAAGTATCCAAACTAAGACTGGGAAAAGTTACAACAAGCTTTTGATAGAAAGATGCGATACATAAATTTTACTTATTTGACTACACTTGAAGGCACAGGTAGCATCACATTCATTTTCTTAATAGTATCACTGGCGACAGGCCGACTCCAGGTTCTTGCTTTGCTCTGGAACTGGCCAGCAGCATCCTTAAGCTTTTCCCTTCTCTCCAGGCTCCCCAGTGTGCGGAGAGGGATGGGGTAGAGTTGGTGACAACTGATGCTACAGAAAGAGTACACTCTTGAGCTTGTCAAACCTAGTCCACCTCCTCCTCCTCCTCCTCCTCCTCCTCCTCCAGGCAACAGTGTGCTTTGGCTTACTCTTCATCTAAAGTCTCAGCAGGAATCAGCAGGCACTGGAACGCAAACCATTACTCCACTCCTGTGAGCTTGAGAGTCCAAGCATACGTGAAGGGCAGGGCAGAGAGTGGTAACTGGAGCAAAGAAATGAAGAGACCTTGAACTGGATCCTTGGACCATTTCAGAGCGCCTTTGACGCCCAGCATCACTACCTGCCAGAAAGCAAACGGGAATCCAGTGAGTACAGAATGGGGCAGACAAAGTCTAATGGGAGAACCCCTGCTGGGCCAGGGAAGACAGTCTCAAAGGGCATACACATGGCAGAGATTGGGCAGGGAAAGGAAACCCAGCAAAGGGCTGTCAGCTCCATTTGAAAAGTACATCTTAAGGATAACTGGGGCTCCCTACCTCTGTAGTTGAGGTAGCTTTAGGGGATGCAAGGTTTAAGACTCCATCATCTGGCCACTGCAGAAAAATGGCATAAACGTCTGATCCCTTTGAGGTATACCTGGGGAAAAAGAGACATCGTTGTCAATGATACCTGGCTTGCTACTCCAACACACGGCTTTACCCATTTCCCTTTCAATTAGCTACCAATGCTAACCCTTTGAGTCTGTCACAGCTCACTGGAAGAAGTGGGTTAAGGTCAAGAGGAAGGAGGCAGCCTCTAAGGCTTTTTAGGGATCACCTCCATTTCTCCTCTCTACAGGCTTACTAAGTTTCCTTAAAATTGTTTACTCTTCAATGAGTTATTTCACAAACAAGCCATTTAAAAGATTATTAAAATGTTTTCATCTCCCAATCCCGGTGAAATAGCAAAGGATATAACAGGGTGAGATAAGAAACGAAGACAGCTTGGTGGTTCTGAGATTTCACAGTGCTCACAGAAGAGGGTGGAAATCACCACGTGGAAATTCTGTCAGCACAGAGGGACTGATGTTTCCCCGGATCCAAGACCAGGAAATTTTTGTCAGAACCCTAGCCGTTCCCGTTACAGACCATGTATTATGTGCCTGGCACGAGCTGATGCTTTATAAGCTTGATCTCATTTAATGCTCACAACAATCTTATGAGGCTGAGTATCACTTTGAAGTTGAAGTAACTCGGACCCAAGATCAAATAATGAGAGTCAAAACGCCAAGTTGTGACTCATGGCGTGGTACATTAGCTACTGCTAATTTTAGAAGGCTGGCTTACATTTTTCAATACACTGACACTTTGTAGCTCCCTCCTTTTCTCATCAAGCTCACTGCCTCCCTCATTAGTCAATGAGACCCTGGTGGAATAAGACTTGGCTCAACTGTGGCACATAGTCTAGGGCAGAAGAGCTGTGGAGCTCCATTACGATGACTTCAGACCGGCTTGAAACATGTGGTCCCTAGGAGGTCACAGCAGAGGATGGGCTAGTCTTGGTCCTGACTCACCAGACAGAGGTGGAGTTCTTATCAGACTGTACTCTCCATGGCTTAGAGGCATAGATCGCCTCACCGTTGATGCTCAGCCACTTCCCAACAGCAAGAAGCCTCTCTTGGAAGATGGGAACAATGATTCCATCTTTAGTGGGCCCGATGTTGAGAAGGTAATTGCCTCCCAAGCTTACTGCCTGCACCAGTTCCTGGAGAGAGAGCAGAAACAGAAAGCCTAAGCTGGCATAATGCTTAGGGCATGCCAACACTGAGGAAGGAACAAGAATGCGGGGCACACACTCCCTGCTCTGTGACTATCCTTTCCTCTTTATTCTAAAAAGAGCCACTTTGCTTTCTGTTATTATAAAAGCAGAACAGATTCATGGGAGAAAACGGAAAAAGCGGGTTAAGGAAACGGAGAAGTTCATTAACTTGAATTCCAAGGGGGTGATGGCTATGTGATGACCATTAGGGTCTGAGGTGAGACTACTTCCCAGGGTGCTTTGGGCAAGGTGGGGGGAAAGAAGGGTTCTGGGATGCTGCAAAAGCAAGCCGCCGTGATGAGACCACCTGGGGAGAGAGGGGACACAGAGGGAGAGCTTCTCAAGAGCTGCCCTGGAGGCTCTCAGGATACTGAGGCTGTGCAGTAGGTTGGCAGGCCCTTCTGGAAAACTCACTGTGGAGCGGGACACTCTTCTGGGCTCCCAAGGTGGGATTTATGTATGTAATACTTCCTGTGACCTTGAAGAAGCCCGGTAAAATGAATGCTACCTTGCACAAATAATACTCCCCACCGGCCCGAGCTGTCGGTCCATTCTGGCTCACGGTGAGCAAAGGAGAGGGTAGCCTTGCTCCCTAGAGTTTGAGGCTGTACATCTTTAAGGAAGCACATAGCCTCCATCCTTTCCCCTCCAAGATGGTGGCGGATTTGAACCACTGCCCTTTCAGTGAACAGACCAATGCTAAAGCCTTGGTGCCACAGGGCTTCCAAGTTCTAGGCAGAAATTGTTTTTAAAAAGAGGAATTCAGTACCCCAGGCATCACGTCGTTAACATTTATGTTTCCTTCTAATCTTTTTCTTGCGTGGTTATTTTACAGTTATGATAATACTAATAGTTCTTTGGATAATTCAAATTGCTTCCTTAGGACAGATTATACCAGTATGTTCAAAAGCTCTATCCACTTGCAGGCCTAGCCCGAGAGTTCCCATTGCTCTCTATTGGAAGGCTGGTTTGAGAGAAGTCATTCAAACTCAGAGGGTTCTTACCATAAGGATTTCCTGTTCACTCGCGATGCCTGCCATCACCATGTTGCGCCGATAGCCCCAGGAAGACTTGTCGATGGAGGTGCACATCTCCCACTTGTAATCGGGCAAGGTCTCCGGCATGTACTTATCATGGCAGTTGAAGAAGCCTCCATGGTGACAGGGGCAGTTTTGGCCCCACCGGTCATTGACGACCACCTGGTCCTAAAGGAAGGAGGTGCACTGGCTCATGTCAGGGTAAGACCACCTGGCTTCCTGGGCGGAGCAGTTTAACAAGCGAAGTCTGTGTGGAAGCAGAGGCGAGACTTCACCTAGAGCTGCTGTTGGGTGTGGGCCTCGCCTCACAGTGGCTCCGTGTGGCAGAGCAGGACTGCCCCACAGGAAACCGGCTGTCATTTTCAGGGGGCAGATCGCAAGTCTCCCTCCACGGAGCTACAGAGTGTGTTTAAAACATCCTCCTCCTGCTGAACCACCGCGCCACCAGCGTACAGTAAGCAGTGGTTCTTAACTGGGAGCAGTCTTGCCCCTTCTGGGACCCTTGGGCAATGTCGGAGGATACAATTGGTGGCACTGCTCCCATCTAGGGGATATACATCAAAGATGCTACTAAACATTGTATGGTGCGTAGGTCAATCCCTCTAGTGCCGCCACTGTTCCCCAACTGTTGGCAACAAAGAATTAAAGAGAACATGACCATTGAGAGGGTGCCCAGGACTGGGCAGTATTGTGCTTTGTTGCGCAAGGATCCCTCTGAGTCGGCACCATCTCGATGGCACGCAACAACGTCAACGGTGCCGCCGAGGCCGAGAAAGCCGAGAGAGAGAGAGAGAGAGAGGCCTGGTATCAGGACTAGCGAGGCTGTTTGAAAGGCCCGCAAATAAGTGACATCGTGTGCTCTTAGAGAGCAATGGGGGTTCAGAGGAGGGGGCGCATCTGAGGCATGAGTATCTGAGCCTAGCCAAGGGGCTTCTCCACGATAAAGAAAAGCCAGCGATCAAGTAGTCCTTTCTCCCAGGTTTAGCTGAACTAAGAGAAACCACCCTCTGGAACATACCACTGAAACTATTTAGTGCAGGAGTACAGTTTATAGCAGGCTGGTAAATGCAGGGTAAAAACTGAAAACACTTCCCCATCACGTGGCCAAGCAAGCACACTACTGTGAACTTCTGTTGACTGGCACCTCTAACTTGGTGGCCTGCAGGTGGTGAAGCCCTCAGGGCGGGCTTCTGCTGTCTCCCTCGGAAAGCTTTCTGGTGCATGTGGAAAAGGTGTGCTTTGAGCTGTACTCAATTCGTTGAGTATTTCAAGAGAAATTCGGTTCCTTTTGTTTAACAAGGTGACCCGATGGTAAGTGTGTGACCTGGCTGTCCAGTACCTCCGAGCAAAGCTGGGGAGAGGTGGAGACTCTGGGATGATGACAGATCTCACTGTCTCCTAACTTCCACCCTCTTTTCCTTATTTCGACATTCCCGGTCTCCTTCTTTGCAGTCCACCCAGAGAGCACAGCGTGCTCGCAGAGACAGGAGGGTGGGCATTGCGGACTGCGCACTGTTCCTTTTGCCTGCAGGCTCTGGAGCTGACTTTATCTGGACCCCTGGCCCTTTTCCCTTCCTCCTCATTGTCTGAGCTTGGTAACAGTTACCACTAAGCTTCTCAGAAGGTATATACCACTAAGTGACCTCAGGTCAAATTGATTTTAGACTTCAATTTTCATCTTTACAATCCACAACAAGTTTCAAACATGTTCTAAACATTTACACTTTTTCTATGGTCAAGATTAATATTTATGCTTTCAAATATGAACTGAAAATAAACTCAAAACTCACTGCCACCAAACTGCCACTGACCCACAGCGGCAGAATACAACTGCCCCCTGGGTTTCTGAGGTTGTATCACTTCATGAGAGGAGACTGCCTCACCTTTCGCATGCAGAGTGGACGGTGGGACTGAACTACAAACAGGCAGCTATTATGTACTGCTTACCCGGAGAGGGTGAGTAGGAAGCAAAATTCTTTCAAGAGTTTGGATCTAAGGGAAAGAATTTTCCCTTTTAGAAGTAATCCATACAATACAATAGAATAGATGAGGTCATGCACTTTAAGTTGATCACGTACCATTATGTGTTTTATATACTAAGTTTTGGATGGTTTTCCCATCTATGTCTGCTTGCTCAACAGTTGCCCTTATTTTCCTGATGGTGGTTTGGGGCTTTTACATACTATTTCTTCCTACTACCTAAATTTAACCATACAAGGGGGCTTCAAAAGGTTTGTGGAAAAATGGCATTAAAAGATAACAGAAACTTTCCATGAACTTTTTCTCTTTTAGATTTTAGGACCCTCCATTTTTTATTGGTAGAATGGAAAGAATACCTGCCTTAGTGTTGACAGAATGAAACAGAATCATGTAACAAATTATTATGGCACTGCTACAGAGATGGGGACAAATCCCTGGTTCATCACAATCACAACCTTTTACATGCCATGGGAAGAATTTACATGCTTGGGAAGAATAAAAACAATTCTTAGATATTTGGATGAATTACAGCTTTAAAAAACCTGCTTTTCATTTCCATAACTCTTTTTGAAGTGCCCTCATCTCTAACTTGTTTCTCAAAATCAAGAATTAAAGTGAAGGGGGCCTCACACTGCAGCCCTCACACTTCAGGTCGGGAAGGAGTTCTTCGGCTACTTGGAACAAGCAGTCCTTTAAGATCTATAGGCAGCACCGACCCAAGGACAAAGTCAGAAGGAACAAGAATGGAAACAGGGAACACAGGGAGGAAGGATGATACATCGAGGGGACTGTGGTGGGTGAGTTGAATCAGAAGGCGTATCAGCTGCCCAAAAACTACGGCCTGTTCTATAAACTTTACCTAACGCACAGTTGAAAAAAGAAGAAGGATTAGAGTGCAGCCCTTCCCATCTGTTCAGCCTCCCTCTCCTCAGCACCCCAGTGCTGCTAGCACTGTTCATTATCGCTGCTGTTTGGTTACTGCTGTCACTGCAGGTCCTGGCTCCAGTACTGTCTTTTATCACAACTGAAAAATGGACACTAAGTCAGATAGCTACAGACCTTGACGGGGCTATCATTGTAGAGCCACGCCAGGAAATTTGTGGAGTTCCAGTAAGCATCAGGACATTCCCACTCTCCATCAGACCAAATCAGGTCAGGCTTGTACCTGAAAGACATGAGATTAGAACAGAGTTTACCAGCTGGTGGCATTCAGTGTAAAGCCTTAGAAACTTGTTTTTCTGACAAATATTTTTTTCATGCAGTTGATTTTCTTTCCTTTGTTATGGTGGCAAAAATATACACACCAAGACATCTGCCAAGGAAACAGCTTTCATACTTAAAACCCTCTGACATTGCAACAAACATTTAAAACTTTACCTCCTCCTCCTCCTCCATTTTAAAAGTAACATAAGATTTCTGCAATACGGCATTGTTTAGATCTAGAAAGATAAGCAAGAACAAACAGACGAGCCACTTTGTTAACATAACCACTATTTATTTGTTACCCAACCGTGTTATGGGCATTTAATTCACACAGCATACAACGGAATAGTTCAATCCCTTCAAGAGAGTTGTACTAACATCCCTGCCATCAGTTCTCGAGCATTTTCTTCAATCTTGATCCCATCATTATTAACTCCCCCATTTAGTCCCAACCTCCCTTGCCATTGTTTCCCTAAGAAACCATTAATCCAGTTACTGTCTCTATAGATGTACCTATTGTGGATTTCACAGACAGAAAAACATAAACAAGAGAAACTAACAAGAATAACAAAATAAAACTGATCAAAACTTCAATTGAACAAGAGAGCAGATCTCTGCTCGGACCAGCCAGTGCACAGAGAGGACCGGCCCCACCGCGAGACACGTATTCCCTCACTGACCCCCACAGCGCTATGGGGGACACAGCACTGGAGACACTGTGTGGAAAGTGTCCCCAGTCTGTTCCAAGCACAGCAGAATGACACTCGAAGGGTGTGCAACAGAGCAGCGAGGGGAGCAACATGACCAAACTCCCGAGGAATCCTGAAAATAGACTTCTGACTCAGGGGACCAGGCTTGGTACCTCATCAGACCCGAGTGGAAAACACTCATAAGGGTCAGCAGACCTGGAAACTATCGTGTTTCCCCCCCCCCTCCCTTTCACCCGACGTCTGTCTATATAAGATAGACAGGATAAACAATTCCAAGAGGAAAACAATGGGACTGGAGGTCCTGGGGGGACATGGGAGAGGAGGGTGCAGGGAGGAGGAGCCAACAAACTCAGGGATAAGGGAACAACAAGAGATCTAAAATTGATGGCAAGGAGTGGGTATAATGCCTGGTGGTGTTTGACCAAGTGCAATGTATTCAATTACTGAGAGCTGAATGGAGGTGAGCATGACAGGAGGAAAGGACGACAGTGAAAGGAAATGAGGAAAGAGGTAGGAGGCAAAAGCTATTTATAGAGGTATAGCTATAGGCATGTACATATCTATATATTAATTTATAATGAAAGGGATAGAGGTCAATGTACATGTATTTATATGAATAGTATTAAGATAGCAGGCAGACTTTGGGCCTCTATTTTAGGCCTCCCTAAACACAAGAACACTTTGTTCTAATAACCTGTCACTCTTTAATATTCACCTTCCCAACATGATCACTGAAGACAAAATGGGTGCATAAGCAAATGTGGTGAAGAAAGTAGATGGTGCCCGGCTACCAAAAGTTATAGCGTCTGGGGTCTTAAAGGCTTGAAGTTGAACAAGCAGCCATCTAGCAGGGAAGCAAATAGCCCACTTGGAAGAGGCACACCAGACTGCGTGATCATGAGGTGCCAATGTGATCAGGTATCAAAAGATCCAAAACAAACAATTATATCAATGTGAAAGAGGGGAATTGGAGTGGAGATCCAAAGCCCATCTATAGATAACTGGACATCCCCCCACAGAAAGGTTACAAGGAAGGGACGATTCAACCAGGGTGCAGTATAGCACCAACAAAACACACATCCTTTCTCTAGTTCCTGAATGCTTCCTCCCCCCACTAACATGACCCAGTTCTACCTTACAAATTCATCTAGACCAGAGTACACACATTGGTTCTGATAAGAGCTTTTGACACATGGAATTCAGGACAGATAAGACCCTCAGGGACAGTAGTGAGAGTAGCAATATCATGAAGGTAGGGGGATGGTGGGGACAGTGAGGAGGAGAGGGAGAAAAGGGGACCCATCACATAGCCTAATGCCCCCCAGGGGGACGAATAACAGAAATGTGGGTGAAGGGAAACAACGGACAGTGTAAGACACAAAATAAGAACAATATATAACTGATCAAGGATTCATGAGGTGAGGAGGGAGGGGAAAAAAGAGGAGGTGATACCAAGGGCTCAAGTAAAAAGAAAATGTTTTGGAAATGTTGATAACATATGTCCAAGTGTGCTTAATACAAGTGAATGATGGATTGTTAGAAGATTTGTTAAGAGGCCCCCCCCAATAAAATGATTAATTAAAAAAAAGGAAAAGATAGCAGAAAATATTAAAAACCAGAACAAATTTAAATGGAACATAAGGAAGGTCAAATGATAGGGTACTAAATTTTAACCTAATTGCATCTGCAACAATCCAGTTTCCAATGCAGTCTCATTGTAACCACTATTTAATGCTAACAGTATTTTGGGATATTTTCTTTTTGTCTTCTTTATAAAGCAGTCCTAGTGGTGCAGTGTTTGAAGTGCTTGGCTGCTACCCAACAGATCAGCAAAATGCACCCACCAGCTGTTCCCTGGGAGAAAGATGCGCATTCTACAGAGATGTACAACCCTGGGAGCCCTATGGGGGAGTTCTCCTCTGCCCTGTACGTTGGAATTGACGTGATGACAAATGCAGTTTCTTTATGGCCCTTTTGAAAGCAGAGTTGTCATCAGGATATTTATACTCGTTTCCTCTAACACATAATTCCAATGAGAACAGCGGGACCGTAAAACTCTAGGACTAGATTGGGATAGTCCCCTAGATGCACTCGTAAAGTCAAGTACCTCCAGCTTCTACTACAGAGGATCTGCAGCAGCACCTGAGCCACTGTGTTCCTTTCTCACAGTATGAGCTCTGAAGACAGGTATGGTTACTTCCATCTAGAGCGACAACTTGAGGCGCAGAGGACAGTTTGTTTCAGGTGTCAATGCTCACAAGTAATTGGAGCTGGAACCCAAAGGTAAATCTGCTGATGCCAAACCAATGCTGTGCTTCACAATTAGTGGGGGAACCAACCTGTATTTTGCCTTAAGATAAATCACCACTTTTATTTTGATGTCCAGATATTTTTAATGTGTTTTCTCTACCTATATATTTAACAGTACTCTTTGGAGACTCTGATTTCAGTGATAAAAGTCATATGCCAAAAACGTGTGCTCCTTACCTAGTAACGAGATCATATAGCTCTGGCATGGTTTTTGAACTCACAAAATACTGTGTCTTGAAGCCGTTACTCTTATCAAATAGGTAGAGTGGATGAAACCATTCTAAGAGTGAATGATAAAGTCCATAGCGGATGTTCCTAAAACACAAAAAGAGAACAACAAATGACATGAAGCAAAGAAAAACAATTAATTTGTCTAAGTTCCAGCATTTTCACACTTCCATGAAACTCATCTATAGGGCCTGGAGAGGGTGGGATCAAAACCATTCTCTCAAATCATCTTAGATCAGTCACATGAAAGACTGTTCACTGTGTTCTTGATAATATATACAGCTGTTCTTTACAGAGGAATGTTTTAACACCAAGATGTCAACTGACATAGTACTACTTTCAAAACCTTTTTCTGTCAATTATTTAAAAGTAACACATATGGTAGGGAACTAGGCAAACAGAGAAAATCATAAAGAATATCCAAAATCTTATTCTCCTGTTCTGTTGTACTTAGCATCGCTTTGGGTTGGAACCAACTCAACAACACTAAACAACATCAACATCATTAGTATCATAGGCAAGTAAAATTTTGCTGAAGATAATTAAAAATGGTTATAACAGTACCTAGATAGGGAACTTCATGAAGTTCAAGCTGTACTGAGAAGAGGACATAGAATGAGGGACATCATAGTTGATGTCAGCTAGACCTTGGCTGAAAGCAGAGAATACCAGAAAGATGCTTACTTGTATTTTATTGACTATGCAAAAGCAATTGCCTTTGTGGATCATAACAGACTATGGGTAGTATTGCAAAGAATGGAAATTCCAGAACATGTTGAACCTGCACACGGACCAAGAGGCAGTCGTTTAAACAGAACAAAGGACTTGTGTAATTTAAAATTAGGAAAGGTATGCATCTGGATTCTATCCTTTACCAATTTTTTCACTCTCCCTGCTGAATAAATAATCCAAGAAGCTGGACTATTATGAAGATGAACGTGTCATTAGGAGGAAAGCTCATTAGTCATCTTCAATATGCAGATGACACTACTTTGCTTGTTGAAAGCAAGAACTTGAAGCACATACCAATAAACATTAAAGACTACAGCCTTCAGTGTGGATTCCAACTCAATTAAAGAAAACCCAAATCCCACAACTAGGCCAATAGATAAAATCATGATCCATGGAGAGAAGACGGAGGCTGTCAAGGATTTCATTTTACTTGGGTCCACAATCAATGCTCATGGGAGCAGCAGTGCAGAAATTAAAAACCCCAACAGACCACACTGGGAAACTCTGCTGCGCAAGGCCGCTTTAAAGTCTGAAAGAGCAATGGGAAAGGGAACAGTAACAAGAATCAGCAGGGTCTTTCTTAAATGGTCAGACAGTATTTGCAGGCTACTGGGTCTTTCTCACCGGTACTGAACTCTGACACTGTAGCTCATTAGCTGAAGCTACTACCTGTGTTTCAGACACACTTCATTTAGACAAAGAGACAGCTGGTCTGCCTGAGATAGGATATCAATCTCCAGAGAGCGGTCCCACTTTTTCTCCATGGAGGCAAACACACCCAGAATGGAGGCTACAGCTAGAACAGTCCGCTCTGCTTCTTTAGCTCTTTGATTTTGGGAAGTTACTTCATATGAAACAGTAAATATTAGGACTCATTCATTAGACCCTTAGCTGTGTGCCTCCCTACCTCACTGCTGGAGAGCAGTAATGACAGAGACTTGATCTACCAGTCACCCCATGTTTTCCTGGATCCCTGCAAAGCTCTGTACTGTCTGCTGAGGCCCCCATCGGATACCAGGACCCAGGATGAAAAAGGCCCTGGCAAGGAAGGTTCTCAGAGGGCCTCCTTTCTGGAATGCACGTGGACCTCCATGGTCTGTCTGTACCAGGCATCCTTCATCTAACCCCGTGGTTCTCAACCTTCCTAACGTCGCCACCCTTTCATACAGTTCCTCATGTTGTGGTGACCCCCAACCAAAACATTATTTTCACTGCTACTTCATAATTATAATTTTGCTACTGTGATGAATTGCGAGACCCCTGTGACAGGGTCGTTCAACCCACCAAGAGGGGTCGCAACCCACAGGTTGAGAACTGCTGTTCTAACCAGACACGACCATGAGCTGTGTCCCCCTTGGCCACGTGAAAAGTACTATGCTCCAGACACTGCTAATTCAAAGGGCAAGAAGCCCTTTAGGTGGCCTCAATCTTTTGCTAAACGGGAACTTAGAAAATACACCAGAGAAGAGAAGGTATGGGGCACTGGGTGGCTAGATTAAGAGATGATGGAGTAACCACCCCCCAGACAACACACCTCTTCCGGAGAGCAGTTCCTAGCTCCCCGACCAAGTCACGATGGGGTCCCACGTCCTGCGAGTTCCAGTTCCAAGACACCGAGCTCGGCCAGTTTGTGAAGCCTTCGTGGTGCTTTGTGGTCAGGACCACATACCTGTGGACATGAAAACCACGTGAGCAGAACAGTGCCAGGAGGAGCCAGGAGCAAGTTTCTGCCTAGCACGTCTGACATTTCTCAAATGGTGGGAGGACATGGCTATAGGAAATACACTCATATGAGTGACTTCATTAGCGATACCCAAGAAGTTACTGCAGTCTCAAGGTCCCTGGCCTTCAGAGGTGGAAACAAACTTGAAGAAGGCATAGCACTGTGCCCTCCACTCCAGGTGGTAGCCAGGAGAGGGAAGGGGTACGCGGCGGGGAAGAAGGGAAACTAAGCTCGCAGATTCTCCAACCCTTCTCAGGATACACGATCAGCTTTCTTCACAACTTGCTTCAGTAGACCTCTATTGGAAAGAGTGTATTTTGGAAATGAAGTTGTTTGTTTTATCAAGCCTACATGAACTGCCTCTCACAGAGGTGGCAAAGGATTAAAAGAGCTGGGGAGAAAAGATGATCAAAACTAGCATGTGATTGATGTCGTCTGACAAACACCTTTTATTTTAAATCCTCAAACCATCTTCACAAACTTAAGGCATTTCAGAACTAAAGTCGGCAAACTTAGAGTACTTGGCTGGGAACTGAAAGGGCAGTAGATTGAACCCACCAGTCACTCCAGGGGAGAGAGGCGGCAGTCTCCTTCTGCAAAGTTTTAATCTCAGAAACCCTAGAGAGCACTTTCACTCAGTCCTGCAGGGATGCCATTAGTTGGGCTCCACTCCATAGCAGTGGCTTGGACCGGAGGCAACATTTGTCTGTGGGACACACACACACACACACACACACACACACACTCCTTTAAAAATGTAAAGCCCTTACTTCATGGGCCTTACAAAACCAAGCAACGTACCATTCCCTCTGATCGCAGCAACCCTCCAGCATAATTCGTGGTAGAAAGTTTACTTAGCTGTTATGAGATTTGGAGTCTAGAACATTAGGTCCCGATCTCTTTCTGGATCAGTTACTGTGTCTGTGATATATGGGAACTGGACAGAGAATGTCTCCCAGCTCTTCATTTTTCTCATTTATAAATTATTGGATCAATGTGTTGGGCTGCTAACAATAAGGCTATTCGTTCAAACTCACCAAGTGCAATCCAGGAGAAAAGATGAGGCTGCCTGCTCTGATAAAGATTTGCAGTCTGAGATACACTATCGGGCAGTTGTAGTGGCAATGAATGGATGGAACAGAAGACCCCTAGAGGTTGGTCCCAGGGTGGCTCAAACAGTTTGCACTCCATTACTGACCTAATGGCTGGTAGTTCAAATCCACCCAGTGGTACTATGGGGAAAAGGCCTAGCAATCTCTTTCTGTCAAGATTACAGCCCTATGGAACATTTCTCTTGAACCCTCGGGGACACCATGAGTCGGAATCATGTTGACAGCCACAGGTTTTGTGTTTGTGTGTATGCTTCTAAAGTTTCTGGAAGGCAGAGACGTGGTGCAAACAGTGAAAAGCTCACCCCTAGGCAAAGGGTTAGCAGTCTGAGCCATCCAGAGGGACCCTGGAAGAAAGATCAATCTCCTCCCCAAAGGTCACAGTCTTGAAAACCGGTGGAGAAGTTCTCCCTGCACACCCGGGCTGCGCTGAATTGGAACACACTCAGCTGCAATGGACAAAGACAAGGCAGAGAACACTTGCTCTGTGTTGGTTCAGTCTTACACTCCCAAACATTCAGGGGCAAACACTAAATACCACGAGTCACTGCTCTTAAATTAAGAGATACCTTCACTAGGACTCTGAAGATGACTGAGGGGCCAGAGCAGAGGGAGGAGCGTGCTTTAAGCCCAAAGCTTTCTCTCCATTCCTGTTCTTCTACAGCCCATTTCCCTCCCATCTGCCAGAGGGATCCTTCTGGAAGCTTAGTCCTTATGATTGTGGACCATCAAGTTCATTCCGAATCGGCGACTGCAGGGCAGAACTGCCCGGCAGGGTTTCCCAGGCTTTAAGGGAGCATATGACTGAGTCTTTTCTCCCTCCCTCAAGCCACCGCCGACCTATCCGTTAGCAGCTGAGTGCTCCCTGAAGCAGGGTAACCGCTCCCCAGTTTAACAACCCTTTAATACAACGCCTTTCAGGCTTGCTTCCTAACAGCCTTCTGTTCATTGGCCAACCACCTGCCAATGCCATACGTTACCCGCGCAAGGCACCTAGAAGCGGGAATACAACCGGACTGTTTCCCAAACACCCCAGGACGCCCTTCTCTCTTTCCTGTGTGTTTACTGGGGCGGAGAGGGCGTAGGACGGTTCCTTCCTATTGCCAACGCTGAAGCTCGGCTCCCGGGAGAGGAAGGACCGACCGGAACGCACTGGAACCCCACTGCTTCGCCAGCCGGAGAGGCAGCGGCCCTAGCGATCAGCTGGCTCCGGGCTCTGGCGATGCCAGTGTAGATCCCGAGGGCTTCCCGGGGCTGGGGAACCTTCGTTCCTCAAGAAGCCGCGCCTATGAGCCAGTCGGGGTGCGATGTAACAATGATGAGAAATACAACTTTCCTCTA